TCGATCCACAGGTTAACAGTTCTTCTAGAGTATCCACTATTTCTACTAGATAAACTTATATACTGCATTATAGACTTATTATTATTATGTGGTGATATTGAAGAAAACCCTGGTCCATCTGAATTATCCACTTCTACATCAGATGTATCCTTTGAAAATTCTACAGATTCTCTCGAACTTCTTTTGGAAAACTCAGTTTCTATAGTACATCTTAATGTACAAAGTCTTAAGCATAAATTAGATATTATTCAAGCTGAGCTTGGGGGATTCGATGTATTGACTTTTAACGAAACCTGGTTAGATAACAGCATTGATACTCAAAGTATACTGTTGAACAGTTTTCAAGAACCTTTTCGACGAGATAGAAAAGGAAATAATTATGGTGGTGTTATAATTTACTTGAAAGATAACATTCCGAGTAAAAGACGATTTGACTTAGAGCTTGAGGAAATTGAATGTATTTGGGTTGAATGTAATATATATCATAGGAAATTCTTAATAGGAACTTTCTATCGCCCCCCAAATTTAGAGACTAGTAAGTGGGATTACATTGCTTATTCCATAGAAAAAGCGAAGGATACTGGAATTAAAAATATAGTTATTACGGGAGATTTTAATGACAACATATATAATACGACTAATTCCAAGGTACTTGATATAATAAAAGACCTATGCATGTCGCAACTTATTACCGAATGTACACATTTTACCGAAAATTCTGAAACGCTATTAGATCTCTTGATAGTTAATAATTTAGATGTAATCCAGTTCTCGGGAGTTGGTGATAATATATTACCGAGTAATATTAGGTATCATTGTCCAATATTTTGTGTACTCAAATTTCCTAAATCATATGCAAGAACTTTTAAGCGTAAAATTTGGTCTTTTTCAAATACCGATTTTCATGATTACCAAATAAATCTAAGTAATAAAAACTGGGACAATTTGATATGTAATGATGTTGAACGAGCTTGTCATAATGTTACAGACGCAATAATTGAAACTGCCACTGAAAATATACCGAATAAAACTATTATTTCCCGTCCAAACGATCCACCATGGATGCACAACGAACTCCGGTTATTTATTAGAAAACGTAAACGTTTACACAAAATTGCCAAACGAACAAAATCTTCTGACGACTGGGCTAAGTTCAGAAAAATGAGAAATATTTGCGTGAATAAAACAAGAAATGCTAGGCAAAATTATTTCATAAAACTAAGTGATCAACTTAGATCAGGTACATTATCTCCTAAGCAGTGGTGGTTAACATTAAAAAGAGTTACCGATTTTTCAAATACAACTAGAAGCTCTTATCCTCCAATGATAAAAAGCGATAACGATTTACCAGTGAGTGAAATCAAAGGTAAAGCTGATTTGTTTAATTCTTATTTTTGTTCACAATCTATAGTCAACGACGCAGGAAGGGAACTACCACCACTCCCCGATGCAAATGAAAATAAGAATGTGTTAAATAATATTATTATTTCCGTTGAAGATGTTTTGGACGTTTTACAACTTTTAAATTCTAATAAAGCCAATGGGCCGGATGAAATAAACCCTACCTTGCTTAAACAAGCTGCTACAGAACTTGCAGAACCTTTAAGTAAACTATTTAATTTATCTTTGCAACAGTCAATAGTTCCAGATCAGTAGAAAATTGCAAATGTAACCCCCGTGTATAAAAATGGCGCAAAGAATGTCGTTAGTAATTATAGACCTATATCTTTACTTAGTGTCGTAGGGAAATGTATGGAGCGATGTGTTTTTAAATATTTATATAACTTCATTCATACAAATGATATTTTAACACCAAAGCAATCTGGTTTCAGACCTAATGACTCTACAGTCAACCAATTGTTGAGTATTACAAGTGATTTTTATAAAGCTGTTGATCAAGGGAAGGAGGTTAGAGTCGTATTTTGTGATATTAGTAAAGCTTTTGATAAAGTGTGGCATAGGGGCCTTCTACATAAGTTAGAAAAAATAGGCATCTCCGGAAAATTGCTTAAATGGTTTGAAAATTATTTATACAAAAGGAATCAACGTGTTGTAATAAATGGAGCGAAATCGGAACTAGAATATATTAAAGCTGGTGTTCCCCAGGGGAGCATTCTCGGTCCACTGCTATTTCTTATTTATATAAATAAATATATACTGGTAGTAGATATAGAATGTATAATAAAACTTTTCGCGGATGATACATCGCTTTATGTTATTGTTGAAAACGCATATAATTCATCTAATCTGATTAATAGAGATTGTTCTATCTGACGTATCCGTATACGTATCCGTATACGTATCGAGGTGAGAGAGGCATCTCGATCCCGATGATTTACTAAGTAACCGTTGGGTAACATTTCCATCGTTTCTTGTTTGATTTTAACCTCATTCATTGGAAAATAAGATATATAGTAATGTTTCTACTAAAACTTATCAAGTTGCTGTTCACACCTATCATTTTATGGAAGGATTTAAAAAAAATAAAATTAGTAAAAAAGTAATATATTTTTATTGATTTGTTTAAAAATAAAAAAAGGTTAAAAAAGTACTTCCCCCTTCTCTCTCTTTCTCTCTCTCTCTCTCTCTCTCTCTCAATATCAGGATATATTATTGTTTCATTCTCGAAGTAACCTTTACCAGTACAAGACATATTCCCCATAATGCATGCAGTCAACGCTCGTTATCTCAAACTTGATTGGACCAATTCAAACTTCGATATATCCAAGGATTTGAGTTAACAAATTAAGTTTAACTGTACGAGGTGTCAGCGATCAAACACTCTAGATGAGTATAAATTTGTCTACATCAAGCAGACACTTAAAATTGATTAACAAAGTGGAGAAGGGGGAAGCTGGGCCAAGGCATGAAGAAACCAAAAAATACCAAGTCATCTTTGCAAAACTTTGACAAAAAAAGGTGTAGAAATTAATCGAACCTTTAAAAAACCTATTACTGGGTATGTGTGTGTGTGTGTGTGGGGGGGGGGGGGGGGTATGGATATTAAGTCCTGAGTTTCTCTTTTCCACAAAAATAATTACGGATACATTAACTGTGAAAGATTAACTTGACCATACTGCATACTCTGTGTGTGTGTGTGGGGGGGGGGGGGTCACTGAAAATTTCCATCCTCATTTTCTTATTATCATTATCAACATTCTGTATATCATTTGATTATATTTGATGGACATAGTTCTCCAGAAAAGCTTTGGAAAGCTGGCAATTCTGGGGTGGTTTGAAGACTAAATTTTCCAAATTGTTAGGTTATAGCCGTATCCGAAATTCCAGAGAGCTTGAGGAAGACTACCATTTCCGAAAGTGGTGCAATTACACGCAGTTTTTGTCGGGGATGAATTAACAATTGTCGATAAAAGGAGATAAACGGAGAAATTTTTTATGTCTTATACATTACTTTATATACATGTTGACTAAAGTTTACTTAATGATTTATTTATATATTGAAATTAATATGACTGTAATTCTTTGTGTACAAGAGGGATCAAAACTCTGAAAAAAATGCTGACATTTTATCAATTAAATGTTTTGTATAAATTTTATCCTTTATTCTGTGTTTTTTTTTATTTTTCTGCTACGTTGAAGCAGCCTCTTCTCTTAAATTCTGTATCCTGCGTGTTGAATTGACTCACACTTCTGGGCCAAAATGCATAAATAAATAAATAAAAATAAATGAATAAATAAATAAAAATCAGCTGGATGGACAAGGTAGCATAGAAGAAATAGATAAATCTATTGTTTTGGCATTTTTTAGCCTAATGTTTCTTTTCTTTCTTATAAAAAGAGAGTTAAGATAATGAATACCCTATTCTGAAACAGTTCTATATCAAACCATGAATTATAATACGCATGTACGACAACAAGAAAACTAAAAGGAAAAATCAAATTTAACAATTGCATTTTCATTTCATTGCCTATTTTTTCGTCGCCATGAAGTCTTTTCAAGTTTATACTGCTGAAAGGACAAACTATAAAGCAAAATCAAGCCGTATGAGAATAGGCACGAAAGTAGCAATTTCAACTCGGGAGGGGAAGGGGAGACATACAGGTATTTGTCAATTAGTTCATTGAAAAAAAGAATGAAGAAAGTCAACAAACGCTATGAAAGTATATGCTTAAAAATGCCAGTTCAACCCCCCCCCCCGAGAAGGGGGGGGGGATGAACTGGCATTTTTAAGCATATACTGGTAAGGGTCTAGAAGCTAATTCTCTTTAGAAAACGGCTACACGGTTTTATTGGTTGTGTGGATACAACGTCTTTTGCATTTTACTGTGTGTGTGTGTGTGAGTTGGCGGGGGTGGGGGGTTAATTTTATGTCATCTAATGTAAATTACAGAATCAATCAATAAAATGTCTAGATGTTAAAGTGTTAAAGGAGAGAAAGGGGGATCCCGATAAATGTTTTTAAACAAAATTGCAATTAAAGTTTTAAATGATATAATGAAAACAAATAAATCTATTTTTTAAGAAATTTTCCAGCGAAATGATAGACGTTTACAGCAGCTTAATACATTTTTTGTTAGAAAAAAAATACCATATGCTATTCTTAAATGAATGGGGTTGCTTTAAAACCAAACAAATAACGATGGAAATTATAGTAAATAGTTTAGACATCGGGATCGAGATGCCTCTCTCACCTCGATACGTATACGGATACTTATACGGATACGTCAGAAAGAACAATCTCTAATAGCGACCTTGCAAAAATCAATGAGTGGTCAAACACCTGGCTTGTAGCCTTCAACCCTTCCAAAACTGAATGTTTAACAATATCTAGAAAAAATCGAAAACCATTTCATCCATCGCTTGTATTTAACGATGTTCATTTAAAAGAAGTCGATGCACATAGGCATTTGGGAGTTATATTTGCTAGTAATTTATCCTGGAAATTACACGTGGATGAAATTATAGGTAAAGCTTATAGTCGTCTGACAATGATGCGTAGAGTTAATTTTATACTGGATAGGAAAACGTTACAAAATATCTATTTTTCGTTTGTGAGACCTATACTTGAATACGCCGATATCGTTTGGGATAATATACCAGACTACTTAGTAGATAAACTTGAAGGTGTTCAACTTGAAGCTGCTAGAATAGTTACGGGAGGGAATAGAATGGCAGCTAGGTACTTGTTATACAAAGAGACGGGATGGGTAACCCTATCAAAAAGAAGAGAAAATCATCGTTTAATTCAATTCCATAAAATATATCATAAAAAGTCCCCTGATTACTTAGTAAATATTGTCTCCGAGTATGGCAATCATAGACATAGTTACAACACTAGACAAGAAAACTCACTACAAGAAATCCAAACTAGAACCCAACTATACTATAATGCCTTCTTTCCCAGTACAATACGTATTTGGAATAAATTACCTTTGGTGATTCAAAATAATCCATCCCTTTCAAGTCTTAAATCATACTTAAATTCTAATTTATCTAGAATACCCAATTATTTCTTTGTTGGGAGTAGGCTTGGTCAGATTTTACATACGAAACTCAGACTGGAATGCAGTTCTTTGAATTTACATATGTTTCGTAGAAATCTGTGTATTTCTCCACTATGTTCATGCGGCGAGATTGAAAGTATCGAACATTTTTTCTTCCATTGTAACAATTTTATAAGAGTACGAAATAGAACTATTCTTTCAATACCTCATCACATAACTGTTGATATATTACTTTACGGTTCACAAAATCTGTCAGAAAGGGAAAACCAAAATATTTTTCTTGTTGTCCAAAACTTTCTGATAGAAAGCAAAAGATTTTAAAACAAATCACTTGATATTTTTACTACGAGATATTATTCGGTCTCTTTTTTCAGTTCAAATTTTATTAGTGATGTGGCATGAATGAGTGAGGTAAATTTTATTTTGTTATGTATAAATTGGAATTTTTGGAGATTTTCAGCGACTTCAATTCCAGTAAACTGTTCACAATATAAATGTATGAAAGTTTTCCATATGAGTGTACTATTTTAGGTTTCATTCACATACAATTCTCTCACTTGTTGAATTTGCAGAAAGAGGGATTAATATAAGCCTTATGGCTTGTTTCCCAATTCTTTTGTATTTATTACTAGTGTATTGTACCATTGTCAATTTCTTCAATAAAATATTGTTTAAACTAAGAAGGGCTAGTTATAACTTCGGTTAAGACCGCGGAACATTAACTGGCAAAATTGGAAATATGCAGCTTACGTCATTTCCATCTGTTACAATCAAAACATTTAATGATAGACAACGGAATGGGCGGGTACAATTCGGCACGGACTTCAGAGAAAACGTTGGATTGAAATTCTAGTTTGAAAATCATTTTCAATCCACCTCAGCTACGCTAGAAGGCAATGAGTTACTGATTGACCCAGAAGTCAAATAATTTCAATTTCGGAATATTTTGAAGGTAAAATATATAAATCATAAATTTCTAACCAGTGTTTTTAAAGAAACATAAAGGGACAAATATTTGATTTCTGTTAGGTATGTGCATGCATGTGTTTGGAAGGGGGATTTGGAGGGGGCTGAACGATCTTGAAAAAAAAAAGTTTTTTTATAGTTTGGGCAACCCCTCCCTGTTTTTGATTGTCAAACATTTTCAGTGAAGACAAAACTAAAGAAAATACCTCTTGTCATCCTAGAAATAAATATATTTTGTCATGTGAAGGCATGATCTGACTAGACAATTTTTACCCCCCCCCCCTACAATCAAATAGCCATCCCTGAAAAAATAATCTCTGTCTTCTATGACTTTTGCGTCTCCTTAAAATTATAGGCTAAAAATTCATATAAACAATGATAAATATGAATTTCAAACAACATGTATTTGGGCATTGAAATTATTTATCTTTTGGGTCATACATTCACATTCTGCGTTTGAAAACAGCTCAGGTGGATTGAAAATGAATTTCAAACTAGAATTTCAATCCAATGTTTTCTCGGACGTTCGTGTCGAATTGGACCGCCCATTTCATTGTCTATGATTAAATGTTTTGACTGTAACAGATGGAAAAAACGAGCTGTACATTTCCAATTTTGCCAGTTAATATGTTCTGCGGTCTTAAGTACAACAATTTTCCTGTAATAAACTACTCAACCACGACTTGTTGTGATAGAGCTTAACATCCTCCCTTTTTTGGCGACAATGTCAGCTAGAGCAACATACCGGGCAGGTTGGCAAGACAATGCAAGGTTAACTTTTTTCCCTTGGTGGCTTCAAAAATTACGTCATTTCAAAGAGCGAGATAAATTAAAACCAGCCTCTTAGGGAAGTAACTAATACTATCAATTGTTATGGGACGACCTAAAGTAATCAATTACCTTAATAATCAATTTCTTGCGTCGGTAGAGCGCTCGCTCCGTGATCGGAAGGTCTTGTGACCGAATCACGGCCACGACTGACCTAAGTCGATAAAAATACGGTAGGTAGCAACTGTTCCTTCGCCAAGCGCTCGGCACATTGATGTGAAAGTTGTGGGTCTTTCGGATGAAACCTTAAAGACCGAGGCCCCGTGTAACGGTAAGCGTTGGCACGATAAAGAACCCTCATTGCTCAATTGCCCCCGAGTTCCGAGTAAAGGTTTAAATTTGAAGCCCTTCTCCGGTATATGGTGATATCTCTATACGAGTGAAAAATTACCGAACGGGACGTAAAATAGCACACAATCAATTTCTTGCAAGTCATTGGTAAAACATCTTTTTATGACTCCGTAATCGAAGATTAGAGCCATGGCATTCATATTTCACGTGTATTCCTTGTGAAAAGACCTTCCTTTGGATACCAACAACTTTGACCTTGGAGTCTGACCCAGTTTTACAATATTTTAAGCAACTTTAACCTTGGCCATAACTTTTGAACGGTGCTGGGGCTTTCATACTTCACAAGTATATTCCTTATGACAAGACCTTCCTTTGGATACCAACAGCTTTGACCCCTCGACTTTGGAGTTTGAACTACTTTTGGATAACTTTAACCTTGGCCATAACTTTTGAACAATTGGAGCTAGGACTTTCATACTTCACACGAGTATGCCTTGTAACAAGACCTTCCTTTGGATACCAACAACTTTGTCCCTTTGACCTTGGCCTACTTTTGAAAAACCTTAACCTCTGTCATAACTTTTGAACAGTTGATGTTACATTGTAGGATTTTCATACTTCACGTGTATTCCTTGTGACAAGACCTTCCTTTTGATACCAACAACTTTGGCCCATTGACCTTGATTTTTGACTTACTTTTGAAAAACTTTAACCTTCTCCATAATCTTTTCAATGGTTGGTGCTATGGCTTTCATATTTCACAGGTATATTCCTCGAGACAAGACCTTACTTTTGGTACCAACATTTTTAATCTCTTGACCTGGAGTTTGACTTGCATTTTAGAAAGTTTAACCTTCGCTATAAGCTGCCATACGGGGGCATCAGTGTTTCACAAACACATCTTGCTCTCCTTTGTTTTTATTCTACATATGATCCATCCTTGTAAGCATAAGTTCAAACCTAGCAACACCTTTACTTTATTGAAAGATTTCAACCATGTTACCACTCTCTCAGATGATGTTGTAAGGCAGAATAAAAGATACTGCTCACTCTCATATTCCAGAAAGGCCCAAACTTCGGTGATCTGAAACAAGTTAATGATATCCATCACATAGTGTTGCATTTGTGCATCTTGAACTATTACTTGTCCTTATCTATATTTTAGGTCTGTAAAATAAATCAACATCAAGAAATTGTTTTATTGAATAACAATATGTCATACATGTTCTGTGATCAGCAATGTTTTGCACAAACTTTAAAATGAAACTAAATACTACAACATTCGAAAATAACTATTGGCACCAAAAATAAACAGCAAAACATATACCCATTGATGGATAACACAAACTAAATGGATGTGTCACAACTAGGTAAAAAAAAAAATACACGATAGCAAATAAGCATATCAAAAATTGGGCAAATATAATTCACATTTGATATTCAATGCTCATCAACAGAAATGACCAACTAAAAAGAAATCCCTACTTTATTTGAACCTATTTATAATCAGCTGCCTCCTTGACTTCCTTTAGTCTATCCTCTCCATTTCCACCCCCCTCCAATCCTTCCGTATTTTCGATCTCCGTGTCTGATGGATCATCTGAGTTTTCTCCCTCGCTGTCAATATTGGCAATCACTCTGTCACTACAGTGCTCCAAATTTTCTTTTTCTTCTTTAGAATCAGACTGTTCTTTATCTTTAACCAAACCATTCCCGTCCTCCTTACCACAGACATCTTCAGAATCACTCTGTCTGGAATCAGTGTTTTTGAATTCTTCCTCCACAACCTTTCCTGAGTCTTCACCTTCACACACCTCTTTCCCTTGGGTCTCTTCCTCAGAAACTTCATCTCTCTGACCATCATTTTCACTTTTCTTGCTATCTGCATCAGCTTCTTCAGTCTCTTGATTACTACCATCTTCATTCTTTCTCTGACCAATATCTTCACTGTCTTTTTGACTAGTATCTTCACTATCTCTTTTGATGACATCAGTATCTTCACTTTCATTCAGACTTGCATCTTCACTCTCTTTCTTACTATCATCTTCACACTCTTTCTGACTAACATCTTCCCTGTTTCCTGTATCATCATCTACATTTAACTTATCCTCAATCTCCTGACAAACATCCACTTCCTTAATGACCTCACTCTCTGCCACATCTTCCTTAATGCCCTCGCTCTCTGCCACATCTTCCTCCGGATCAGGTTTATCCTCATTCTCCCGACTAACTTCTTCCTTAATGCCCTCATTATCTATCACATCTCCTACTATATCATGTTTGTCCTCATTCATTTTGTCTACAGTTGCTTCCCCTTTCTTTTCCTCACTGTTGACATCAGGTTGGTGTTCCCCACTGAGTGAGGACAAGTCCTCGGTCCTCATATCCTCAGGCTCCTCACAGTTGTTGTTAATGTTGTCATCCATCTTCTCACCTCTGGTGACCTCTTCATCTTCCAACTGCTCTTCCTCCTTGACAGACCTTCCTTGGCTCTCCACTTCAGACTGATCATTTGGTTCTTTGGACTTTGCTGGACTTGATGTACATTCAGATTCTTTGTCATTAGACACATCATTCAGTGGGTCCTTTGTTGGAGTCTGTTTTTCCCCTTCTTCATCAACAGCATCATAAAATTCATCCTCCTCTTTTAACTCTTGATCTGAATCAAAGATAAGTGGGAAAAAAATTATAGTACCTTTCATGAAAAAAAATCACTAAAATTCATAAAGCATCTTTATGCCTATCTGGTACTTAACATAATCTATACCATAAGATCACAGTTTCAGCATACACTGAGGAAAAATTTAAAATGACTGTACCTTCTGTCTTATCTTCCTCTGCTTCCCTCTCTGTAAGAAGAAAAAATAACATCAAAATCATTAAACAGATTCAATATACTACTCCATAATCATCTTTGTTGAAACAGGTTGGTTGGTCACCATATGGCTTCTAGTTACTTGGGAATGGACCTGCTTCAATAAATATAGGTCAGATCCAGAATCTAAAGCAAACTGTTAGTGTCCATCCCTAGATGAATCATACATGCAAGTTTGGTCACCAAGGGGCTTATAGTTACTTTGGAATAAAAACTGCTTCTCAAACTTTAACTTGCTCCAAATACATGCTACATAAAAACCTGGGGCTCATTTTACAAAAGAACTTACGACTATGACCAAAATTTAATTCTGCTTGTAACTTTCTAGTTTACATTAAATTTACATCCAGATCTTCAATTTAGAGCTGTACAAGCAGCATTCTTCATATCAGAAATTTTCATTGTAAAATCAGAACTACTCATTTCAGAGACAGTAAAAATGAAAGTTGTCAAACTTCTGTTAATGTGGATTCATTATTTTCTTTGGGGATCAATTATTTTTGTTTTTGCAAAAATTAAAAACTTTGTTAATAGGTAAATCTGAGAACAGCTTCTTAATCTTATTACGTAATTTGTAAAATTTGAAGTTGGTTGATCATCTAAGTTTGTGGTCTGTTTCGGCCACCAAATCAATGAAAAATGATGGGACTGCAGTTTTCATTGTTGCATTGGAAAAATAACAGAGGCTCTAACCGAAGCAAAATTACATTAATGTCCTGTACAATTATTGATTTCTTACACATATTATTAAATTAAAAGGTTATGGTAACACGTTACACAACAAGGATGAAAACAAACAATTGATCATTTTAGTGACACGGTTGATGTGAAGACTCAAGAACATATGACAATTTTTATGATCTTTTTAACTAAAATGTTAACCTTTCTTGAGATTGATGAAATGGAAGCTATCAGAAGCTCCCGTTGTTTCCAGGCTTGAGTCATGACACATGCAAACAGAGGCATCTGTTGTTTCCAGGGTTGAGTCCAAATTAAGGGATTTACCTACAAGTAACAAATCAATTACTCTACACTTATCAATTATATACTATTAAAAAGATAATACATAAATCAAATCCTCTAAGCTTTAACTGATTTTGTATTCATTTGATGAAAAAAAAAACATGTAATTATTTGAGAAAAATGATTTAGAATTTTTTTGAGAATCTTTTTACCTTCTCCATCTTCTTCACTGCCAAAAGAATTCTGTTTTTCTAGGGCCAGCTCATTAAAGGAAGTTTCTTTGAAACAGAAAATTTAAGCATAAAATAATGTCATTTTTTTTGTACAACAAATATATACTCAGATTACAAGAATACAAGTAAAAAATGCCAGCTAGAAACCTTGAACCCTTTTTTAAATTCAGAAATGGTCTAGATCTGAGAAATTACTGCAAACTTACAAAATCCTGTGACAAGCCTATCCTAGCCCATTTAATGCATTCTATCATGTCTGCCATAGATGATTTAAAGTATTCTTTAGCAACAAACCAGATTTGTCTATCTTATAGGAACACACCTAGATCACCGGAGCTCTCCATCATTTGTTCAAACAGTGTGGTGTCTGTCTCAGCTCTGGCAAAACCTAAATCCACCATCAGACGGTTCAGTTCCTGTCCCTCGTAGTCCAAGGTCACCTTGTACACCCCACACTCCGTCTTATGACGCACATACATAATGGAAACATCCTGGACATGATCTATCCAAAAGTACAAATATGGCCATTAATACTAACAGAGAAAAAAATCTGACTTGACAATGCTAAAAATTGTTAATGATCTACCTTGATGCAAGTTAAACAACTATTGTATGAAAAAGAAAAACATATGCAAGTCTCACTTGAGAAAAATATTCTGGTTTCCTTGCTCCAGCTTCCTGTCAGAGAAAATATGTCTGTCAGGGCACACACAGAGACCTGAGCAGGTATCTGGATTAGGGAGTCTGGTATACTGTACACACAGTCCATCTTAGTGGTCAGTTTTTCACCTAAGTCCACCAATAAAACCTAAAATACATTTCTTTCTGCATGTACATTGTACCTGTGTCTATTTTTAATAGCAGAACTTCTCTCTCAGTTACTATATACAAAATGAAATTATTTTTTTTTTTACCTTTGATTATTATTGTGTTAAAAATGTTTGTTCTGATTGATAACTGAACTTTAACTTTCATCAAAGAGAATGCAAGAATAAGTAATTTACAATAGCAATATCATCAAGTCAAGGAAATCCTATAGAAATGCTTATAAATCTTAATATCAGGGCTTTCACAGTTCCCTGAAATAACCAAAAACCGCAGTCCAAGTTGTTTGGTTCAGTTTCAGTTACATTTTTCCAGATTAAGGTGTGGGTCTAGTTTTGTTTATATACCAAAACATGGTGATGAAATCAAAGAATCAAGACATTAACTGTGATAAATAAACATTACAACTGAAATCTACTTCATCCATGACAAAACACTTGTCACAAAAGGATGGAATAATTATTGAAACGAGCAACAGTGGTCATATGTTGTCCATAATAGTGGCCCTAGTTGATGATATACCGACATCAGCATGGTTACAGGTTAACACATTGTTTTAAAGGTGAAATTTTATGACAAATAAAGTTTTTTCAAGTTTAATTCATGAAATGATGTAAAGGACCGGACCAAAAAACCCAAAACTGAGAAAAAAATTTACTGAACCAACCCCAAAAATTTTGGAACTGTGACAGTCCTACTTAATTTCATACAACTAACCTGTACTTGCTGATTAGGGACGACTTTCAAGCATTTGGCTCTTTGATACTGTTTTTCCATTGGACTGAGAACAAGACAAGCAACACCTTCCTTGATGTCAGACAACTTCTGCAGGTTTTCTTCTACACACTTGCTTATCTCCTCCTCAATTTTTGACAACTCATTACAGTCATTGAGCTGGACATAAAACTGTAGAGGATTGTCTGCAGAGGTAACCATGACGTCATACTCCATATCCAAGGATAATAAAGTCCAAGAGTATGGACTGAACAGGGATACAAGATCAATCGACTCCTCCTCATCTGTAGTGTGGTCTGGCTGGGCGTACCCTCCGTCTATCAGACAGCTAGTGATGGAGGTCTCATCATCAGACAGTTCTACAAAGTGTGGCCCAATCTCTGACTTTTCTGTTACATACATTAGAAGTTCTTTATCTTCAGTCAGCTCATCAAATCTTCCACAGGAGCTCGAATCCCAGGACTGACTGATAATGCCACCAAGGCGACAGTGAATAGCTTGAGAAGACATTTCGCAAAAAACATCTAAAAGCAGGAAAATATTGCACTTCCTCACAATCTCCTGGTTTCCAAAGTCCACAAAAAACACTTTAACTTTGTCCTCATCTACCTCTTGGACTACAGATCTGTAATACTGACCATCCACTGGGAAAAGCACACAACAAGAAGTTCCTGGTTTGATGTCCTCCAACTCTTTACCTATCCCTTTATTACAGTCATTCTCTCCATTCTGTACATCCTCCTCTGATACAGACTCAGATTTATTTTCTGACATTGGACACGGGTCACTTTTACGGTCAGCAGAGTATTTTATCAGCATCTTGTCCATCAGTTCATCTAGACTTGCCACCTTGTCCACTATATGGCACCAGAAATTTTCAGGGTTTTCAATATGACTGAGAGTGATTACATACTCAGTGTCTGCTTCTACAGCTTCCGGGGTAAACCTACATCATAATGTATAAACATTGATTTACTGTGTCGGTATTTCTCTTAATATGCAAATATTTTTGGGATTGATTTCCCTCTCCAGAATAATTTCTCAAAAACAATGAGGCACATGTAACAGAGAAATTTGTATTTAAAATTTTTACCCCCTAACATATAATCAAAATTTGGGAATGAGGTCTTTTTCTGACATCCTCCAAAATTTTCCTGCTTGCTGTATATGTAGGGATTGAATACATCTGAACAGTGTTGAGAAAACTAACCTCCCATACAGAATGTCCTGTTCTACATGTATAAGTACTGAATACATCTGTACAGTGTTGAGATAACTAACCTCCCATACAGAATGTCCTGTTCTACACTGTACATGTATAGGTATTGAATATGTTAAGATAACTAACCTCCCATACAGAATGTCCCGTTCTTCCTTCACTGTTGAGCACTCCTCAGATAGCTTTAGTGAGGGGGTAGCTACATCACTGGAGTCAGAAAAAACACGCTTCACTTTCTTACTGATGGTGACCGGCGTGGTCGCCTGTACCCCATATCCTTCCTCTATCAGACGCTCGCTGATCGACAGACCCATGTGAAGAAGTTGTACAATACAGCTGTTATCATCTCCAAGGCTAAGAATGTCTGCTAGTAAAGTCCTGTCAAATTTACAATTATATTACAAGTTTAACTTCTTAAGGGAATCTCCTTGTGTGTTTTGCAATTAATTCCTTCAACAGCTGAATTAACCTTTTATGAAAAGTCTGATATACAAGTATCTCTGCAACAGTGAACATTCCTTACTTTGATTTACAAATAAAGTTTTATTGTGTTCATTCTTTATCAGAATACATTCTTTATCAGAATACATTTAAATTTTAGTTTATTTTCAAAGATACTGAGGTAATTGAAAACTTTATCTATAGATCTAGAATTAGGTTCAAGTTACAATAGTTGTAATTTTTAGTTAATAAGCACAGAAACATGAGCAATATTCAGATCTAGCTAAATATTAAACAGATCACATTATGTCAGTATTACTTACTTTTCCTCAGTAAGATTTGTGAAGAGAGTTGTGGCATCCTTGCTCCACGGCCCATCCTTAGACCTCACCCCAGCAAGGGAACACTCCACACCTTGGATTGGAAGGTCACAGAATCGTTTCAGAAGACGGCGGAGATCAGAAATGGCACACACCTCTATATTGCCATGGTCCAGAAATATCACCTCCACTTTATCCACATCTACCTGTTTTTTGATGACAGCTCGATACCAGGATGAATCCTCAGAAAACTTGGCAGCACAAGGTGTGTTGATTGCCACTTTTTCTATTTTATAGGATGATATGGGCGTATTGCTGTAGAACTCATACATCTGGTCCAGGAGGTCATTGAGGGGGGCGGGGTCACCAATGTGGAGGTAGAAACAGCTCGGGGAGTAAACACAGCTGACGTTGACCTCCACTCTATCCTCCGTTTGGACGGCAGCAGCCTTCAGCTCGTTCACACTTGAGATTGTGTCCTCCTCCTCCTCTGATGATTCATCTGTTGCAACAAAGCTCTCCAATAAATAAACAAAATAACTAACAAGATAACTTTTTTTGAATATATCTCTTGCAAATTTGGGTAAAGGATTGATGGCTTGGTCAAGATCAGGTGCCCATGTTGGTTGCAGATTAACCAAAAAATGAAGTCTAATGAATCGTATTACAAGTATGTTCTATGTAACACTACATCCTTTTGGCAGATTGTCTGAAATTTCTGTTCATTTCTGTCGAGCGGTTAAAAAGATTTCACTCTTACTTTAGCAGAGACCCAAGTGGGCTACGGACTATACATATTCAGGCATAACATTTATCGTTATCATATTCAACTAAACAAAACAAGTATAATTCAAATACAAACTCTTCACAAAATATTGTCTGAACAAAAAAATCACATAACTCATTTCCATCAAAAATGTTACAGTATATAAAGGACATGGGTAAATTTATTAATCTCTGGGAGTTTTTCTACTCTTAATATTTAGACATTTGAAGCAAAAGTACATTAAGTACTTTCAATTTTTCTAAAGATACTGTATATGGGGATGAAAATTTCAAACTTATTTGGTAATACTCAGAGAAAAAATGTGTCAGATATTTTTTGATTGACAATTTTGAGACCTCGGGCTACGGACTATACATGTAGCATTTTTCATTTACTGAGAGACCATAGAAATATAGTTGTCTGTATCAGTAAATATTTCTTAAAATTATCATCATGGAGTTCACACATGTTTAATAAATCCTTTCGTTTGGATATTGAATCAATTTATACAAAAATCCTGTAAAATTTAACAAAATAAAACAAAAACTTCAAATAAATTCACAATACGAGTAAAATATGAATTGTCAGAACAAAATAATACATGTCAGAATTACACGTAATTGGTGTTTTGATAAAAAAAAATATAGTTTAAGACCATCTAAAGAACAAGAATGAGCTTTAATTTAGCATCTATGAGACTGAATTTCATGTGAGCAATGGGGCTACGGACTATACTGTTTAACATCTCTATTGTGGACAATCAACTTAAAGAAAATATAATTGTATGATCAAATTTGTGGCAATTTTTTTTAATTATTTGGTATTCTATAACAGTTCAAGCCACTTAGTTTGAGTATTTATAATACCATATTTAAAAATCAATTGTCTAATGTACTGTGTGCTTTCAACGCCAAATGAAATTCCAGTTCAACTAATTAAAGCATTATTGGTGTTCAAACTATTAATGAATAAAAGCAAGAGGAGCTGTACTTAAGTCAGGGCATGATTTTTTTTAGGGGGGGGGGGGGGGTTTACAGACTATATTGCTCCATTTTTTTTTTTTTTTTTGATTTTATTTTAATGTAATACATAGAGCTCAAGGTGGTCATTCAAAAGGTGTATCGGTATATAATTTATCATGATCATATGGTGTAATTCATAAAAAATTACAAAATATGATTGACCATTTGAAGTAAAAACATGATTAGTACAATATTTATCCATAAAGAATCAATGTTTTTTTTTAATTAACAATTCAGTGACAAGAAGATTGGGTGGCACAATTATAAGAGTGAAGGTCTCACTTTTTAGTAAATTGCAAAGTAAGGAGTTGATCCTTACGTTTTGGGATCAAATCCCACTATGGGATGTTAAGACTGGTTGGTGAGAAAAAAATAAACCATTGAAGTCCCATTTTGCAGTAGATGCATGTAGGAAAAAATAATTCTTCCTAATACAGAAGTATGGTTATATGGTCTGTAAATTTGCTAAATTTATTTGTAGAGTCCGTAGCCCTTTTGTAAGTAGGATTTGTGTGGCCAAATATTCTTTTAAAAATATTCTAATGCTAATTTTTCCAAATGGAATGTTAATATGTATCACAAGAAGGAAAACTTTATCATGTATATTTAGAAATATGTTTTGACCACAAAGATAACAGGACAGACTAAGCCTTTAGTTGAAAAATGTTAATTTTCAGACATTTTATCTTTAATTACAGTGGTATTTGTATTTAAAAACATTGCATTTGTTTGAATAAACATATTATTGTATTGTAGTTATTGTGTCAATAATGTATATGACTTTCTGGAAGTTATTATATTAGGGCTACGGACTATACAGGGCTACGGACACCAATCATTCTTCAAAAACTTCTTTTGGTGTTAGCGCAAAAGCTATATTCATTACTGTTTTTTACTTTACTGGTACCTGTGAAAATATTAAACAAGAGCATGAATAATTATACGTTCTTTTGTTGAACACAAAGTAGAATGAAATATGGGGCTACGGACTATACAAAAGATTAGACCAGTATGGAAAAAAATTACAAAATATGCACACATTTTACCATATAACCACTATATTTTTCTCACAGTACTTTTCTTCTTAAGTAAAATAAAAATTTTAAACACATAATATTTGCTCTTTTTTGGCTAGAAATTATGCATGTATTCCAACATTGATAAATCTTAAATTATATAACAAAGGTATATCTGCACACATTTATTCATAATTTCCACAATTTTTATCCTTTTTCTTTTCTGTAAAAAATAAACTAAACCAGAGTGATTTCTCTATAATTAAGTATATCAATTTTGGAATGTTTCATTCAAAATAATTTTAGTTAACCATTTTTTAAAATGTAAAAAACCAAGTGCAACAGCATAACGCTTCAAAATTGATGGATCTTTGACTTTATTCTGTTGTTTTTTCAAAGATGCAGATACTATATATGTGATATTATATACCAATGGAAAGCTCTCATTCTGATCTTTGCAATGCAACAAAAGACATTTAGATTAGATGTAACTATAAAGAGTTACATCTATATAACATCATTTGGTTGGAAATGGGCACCTGATCTTGGCTAAGCCGTTGAAGAAAAAGAATAAATAAATTTACAAAAATATTTTTCAGTCAAATGAATGTTGAAAATTTATAAATATGAAATTTACAGAAACTTTTCATGCCACTTACTCGTTCCATTACATGTGACGTTAAGTTCAGCTTCATCAAAGCCTGTTTCATCCAGGGTTATATGGGACTCATCCATCAACACCGACTGGGAAGCTACAAGATCAAACATTTACATGTATATAAGATGATTTAAACTTTATACAGCTTTCATTAATTGTTAACATACACAATTTTGTTTTTGTGTTCAGACCTGTAACAAGTAAAATTATTGAACTGTATCCACAAAGCCAACAAACTGCATAAAAATCAGACATATATTACATGTACTTTTACATTCAGAAAAATGGTGCAAGTGTTGAATTATTACCAGTGTCTTGTCTTTCTTCCATTTCTGAGAGATCAGCAGAGTGACTAGTCACCTCTGGTTCACCTCCACCTGTAGGAGACAAAACACTGTTTCTAATGCATTTCTTCATTGTAAACTAAACATCACCTCAAAAAGCAAGCCATCAAATTATCATGAACAACACAGACTTTCAGGTTCAGTTTTAAGACTCACCTAACTGTATAATCTCTTTATTTATACTATGATCATCTGCTAGCACCATTGTTACTTCATGTTTGTTGTCCACTTGTTTGTCAAATGTCACAGTAACCTCAGCATCCAATGACAGCTTGGAGAACAGTTCCTGTTGCTCTGTAGACATAGTTGTACATCCAGTCAGACAGCATCGGTAAGCCAGAGCTGGGCTCACAATTCCAAGAGTACGCAAGTTATCTGTAGTGACTGTGTCACTATTTCCAAAGTCTATAAATAGAACATCCACCATTTCACCTTTGATGTCTGTGACAAGAGCCCGGTACCAAGAATTGTCTGTAGTGAACTTGGCACAGCAGTAATCATTAACTGCTACATCTGTCAAAGGTTTGGCCTTCTCACAGTGATTCTGAATGTTTTCAATAACTTCTCCTAGTGTATCCTCTTGACTTGCTAACTGTAGAAAGAACTGATCTTTGTCACTATGACTGACATAAGCTGCAGTTGCCTCTGTGGGAACGATTTGCTCTTCTAAACAAGTCACACGGACTGGCTCTGGTTCCTCAGGAGTACAGGAACTCTCCTCATACTTTACCAGGCTGGCTTCCTCCAGAGACTTCCCCAAATCTTTACCCTCCACTTCTAGCTTCACCTCAGATCCAGTTACAAAAGTACAGGTCAGGTCTTTGTCTACAATCAGGGACTCCAGCTGGGTTGTGACCTCTGAACTCCAGTCTCCCTCCAGTGAAGAAACCCCACACAAAGAACATGCATATGCAAATGGTGGTAATGATGCAAATTCTGATGGAAGGTTTTTCAGTGAACTTGTTTCCACTTCCTCGCTATTGCCGTAATCAATAAACCTTACTTTAGCTTTTCCTGCATTAATCTCCTCTATAACTCCTCTGTACCATGCCTTGTCTTCAGAGTATATCATTCCACATATCTGTCCTGGTTTTGGGTTAGCTAAGAGAGAACATGCACCTACTGACTGCTGTAGTTTTGCTGTCATGGTTTCCAGTGGTTCTTCACACCCTTCTTTCTGCAAGTAGATTTTGGAGGGTGATTTTACATATGTAGCAAAACATTTAATTTGAGTTCCGGTTGGTTCTGTGTAATTGATATGTTTATATACTGGAGCCTCCTCTGCTTCAGTTTCTGGTGCTTCTCTCCTGGGTTCCGACACTGGTTTTCCATCATCAAAGAAGAGCTCTACTGTCAAGCACACGGGAGACTGTCCTACAACCTTCAGGGTCATTTCTTTATCTGCTACTTGGTCTCCAAAATCATTTCCAACACCCTCTGGATTTGACAATTTGCAGTGTATGGCTTGTGGTTCAAGTTTAAGGAGTTCTGTCGGAATATTACAAATACTCTCCATAGAAATTGATTCTGAATTCCCATAATCTACAAATAAGACATCTGCTGTGTTTCCTGAGACACTAGTGACTATGGATCGATACCAAGCTTCGTCTACGCTGTACTTTGCCATGCATGCCATGCCCTCCAACACACAGTCGACTGGAATTAAAGTTTCAACCTTTTCTTCTATATCTCCGAGGAGTGTGTCTAATTGATCTGTATTCTGTGCTAACTGACAGTAGAAGCTGGTGGGCGAGTTGGTGTGGGAGACAAACACCTGGTGGGTACTGCCTACAGGAAGGGAGATCTGAGGTGGGAAATCTGACTTCACAAATGATGTTGAGGAATCTGAGGTCTCTTTTCTAACAACTGCTGCCCTGATCAACTCTTCTGCCACATCCACTTCACCTGCAGAAAGGGAAACCTTCCAAGTTCCATCAGAGTTTTTCTCCATGAAACAAACATTGAGAGCATCAGGGACCAAACTCTGCATTATCTCCTTGGTGTCATCTGACCATCCAGTTTGTAGTGGTTTCACACCTGAGAGGCTGCATCTCAGAGCCTGAGCAGGGACTTCACGGAATTTTTGCTCTACCTGACGTAGTGCATCTTTAGTAACTACGTCTGCATTCCCATAATCCACAAACCTGACTGTTATATTTGATCTCTGAATGTTCTCTACATAAGCTCTGTACCATGCCTCATCTTCAGAGAACTTAGCAACAACAGGATCCCCCAGATTAATATTCTCCAGTTCACTGCCTCCAGCTTCATAATGTTCTTGAATATCTGCCACCAGTTCTTCTAATTTATCTGCTTTTTCCTCTGGTTGGATCCAGAAGTTGTGAGGGTTCTCAATCCAAGACACAAAAGCTGTGACTTTCTCTCCTTCTTGCTGAGGTAGAGCTGGATAAGGATTTTGTAATGTACTGACAATGGGAGCAGAGGAAACTTTACATAGTCCAGCATCAGCTAAGCTCTGAGCTACATCTTCACCATTCTCCGATAGCTTCAACAGGTACAATCCGCCAGAAAAATTAACAACGTTTGCCTGTAATTCTTTATCCATGACCAGTTCTTCAAACTTTTCTATTGCCTCCGTTGACCAGTCTTCCTGGAGCACTCCACTGAGGGAACATTTAACTCCTTGTATCTCTAGACTCATGTAGTTTGCATTGGCTGCTTTCACTTCAGCTTTATTCACAGTCTCTGTATTCCCATAATCCACAAAATGAACCTTCACTCTGTCGTCTTCCACTTCGGAGATCTCCCCTCGATACCATCTATTGTCTTCAGAGAATTTGGCAACACAGGGTTTTCCTACTTCATATTCATGGACACATCTTTCTTTTGGAAATAACCCATTGTATTCTTCATTCATTTTCTCCATCATTTCCTCCAACTCTTCTGACTTGCTTACCATCTGACTCCAGAATTCAGTGGGAGATTTGACGTACACTACATATACTTTGACAGCTTTGTCTGATGGGAGTCTGGCAAGTTTGTACAAGTCAGCATCCTCATGCCCCCACTTATTACCATCTTTCTTGGGTGTGGCACTCCATCCTGGTGATATGACTGTAACAGCTGATGTGGTTGTGGCACTGTCTCCCCAGTCATCTTCTGTATTGGCACCACTATCTCCACCTCCACTGCTACCACCAAAACCGCCACCCCCTCTACTGGCTCCAAATCCACCACCCGGCTTTCCTCCCTGAAATCCACCACCCTGCTTTCCTCCCTGAAATCCACCACCAGACCTGGATCCAAAACCTGATGAGGAATTTCTGGGCTTGGAATCTGAGGAAGAGTCTCCCCAATCATCTTCAGCAGCAGGCTTTGATGAACTGCCACCAAATCCCCCTGAGAAACCTCCTGAAGGACGCTCAGACCTCCCTCCAAATCCACCTCCAGAGCCTTTGTTTCCAAATCCACTGGAGCCACCACGGTCTCCAAAACCACTGGAACCTCCTCCAAAACCACCACCACTGCGGCCTCCAAATCCCCTGTCACCTGTTAAATTTACACAAATACCATCTCAACTTCAAAGTAATTTCTTTAATACATAAGAGAACTTCTAATCAAGAAAACAACATACTAAAAGTGTATTTTATTCTGATTAACAGTGTTTTCAATAAGAGCCGGCAACCGGCAAAATTAACCGCCTGTACGTGACTGAGACGCGGAACATAGGAATTAATTCTTACAGAATTTCCTCAAATTGAAAATGTAAATTTGTATTCTCGTTTATTTGTGTTAGCTCTCTTGAAATACAGGAACAGTGTAACATTTCACATTTAAGAGGTTTTTATGTACTAGTAGTTTGTATTTGTATCCATTTTCTTAATTATTTCGTTCTGACAATCTGTATAAAATAGTAAATAAATTGAAAGGTTTATGATATTTTAGTCTTAGATTGCAGAATATTTCAATTTTTGGGGGTATTGTACGCCACTACGTGTTAAAAAGTTCTTAAATTTTTAAATAAATTATTTCCTTAATTTTGAATAATTTTCCTGACCAGTTAATGTGAAAGGGACAAATTATGTAGCATTTTCAGTATGAAATTCTAGCACAAAAAATTGTCTGTGCTAGAATTTTCATACTTAAGTTGTCTTAATGTTTTTACAGACACCTAGTTTTCAGGGGGAAAAAAATCAGTCCGTCAAAAGTCCATATAACAAATCAGTGAAAGGGTACAAATTGTTTTCTAAATGGCTTTATTAGGTAAAATTTGGTAATTGATAGTAACAGAAATGTGAAAAATTTATTGGCCTGAGAGGTAAGAAAATTGAGTCAAAAATGCCAATTTTCGTTTTCGACCGGGGGGCTTTGCCCCCCTGGGCCCCCTACCAGGGCTCTGCCCTGGACCCGCTGGGGGCCTGAGCCGGCCCCCAGACCCCTCGCCGAGATTGGTTTCCTGCTGTTCCAATATATTTCCTTCTATTGAAAATCTTATTGAAAACACTGATTAAGTTTCAAATTTATACATGATCAGAAGGATAGAAAGACAGAAAGTAGGACATGAAACACTTGATGCCCCAGACATATTAAAATAATAACTTAAACCCTGAAAACTATTTCTGAAAGAATGCATTAAATCCAAAATTTTTCCTAAGAAAATACATATTTATTTTGGTCTGACAATTATTGCCCATAGCCAGTTTTTCATGATATGTTTTTTTTTTTTTTCAGAGATAGTCTTTTTTTTATGTATTTCATAGTATCAGTTTTTTTTGGAATATTATCTAAGCATGCTTCACTTCAAATACTTGCTTCTTTGGTTTGTTGATGTACAATCCCTGGCAAAATGACCCTCTTCTCCACACTTGTGACAACCTCTTCCTCCACTCTGACCACCTTTGGGGCAATCTCTGGCAAAGTGACCCTCCTCTCCACATTTGTGACAACCTCTTCCACCCCCTCCTCCAAAGCCACCTTTTGGGCAATCTCGGGCAAAATGCCCCTCTTCTCCACACTTGTGACAACCTCTTCCTCCACTTGATCCACCTTGAGGACAATCTCTGGCAAAATGGCCCTCCTCTCCACATTTTCTACAGCCTAAAAAATAGAAAAATTCCTCTTTTCATTTTTTAAAAAAAAATTTATTTACTTTCACAATGCTCAGACAAAGAAAAACTTTCACTGATACAAATTTAGCAAAATGCATGGGGATGTGATATCTACAAACAATTCATATCTCATTGAAAATTTCACACAAATAACATTCAACAGATCTAAAGAATTGAAGTTATACCTACCACTACCACCTCGGTCACCGCCCTCTCTTCTAAATCCACCCCCACTACCTCCAAATCCTCTGGATCCACCCTCATTTCCTCCAAATCCTCTGGATCCACCCTCACTTCCTCCAAATCCCCTGGATCCACCCTCACTTCCTCCAAATCCTCTGGATCCTCCAAATCCTCCTCCAGAAGAGCCACCAGATCCTCCAAACCCTGCTCTGCTTCCACTTCCAAAGCTGTGTGAGGATGAACTAGCTGAAGGGGTCTCATCCCAGTCTCCATCTCCCGAAGTGGTTCCACCAGGCGGCGATTTACTGCCAAATCCTCCAGAATTGAATCCTGAACCTCTACTGTGATTATTAGAACCACCAAAGCCAGGGCGGTTTCCTCGGTCTCCACCACTGAATCCTGGTCTTGAATCATTGGATCTCCCACCTGAGGATCGGTCTCCAAATCGTCCTCTGTTTAAAGTGTGTTTATAGCAGATTTTTATTTACCTCTGAATTGCTATTCGCTATACTAATATGTAGTATACCAGTAATTTAAGGCATCAAATTAATAAAACTTCTTAAAACTGAGAATACTAAGCAAAGAATTGACTACCACATACAAATATCATTAGTCATACATGTATACCACAATATAACTTCAGGTTTATTGATACTCTGATAAGAAAGATAAGTCTTAATGACATGTCTATTAATCCTTTACAAATTAGCCAAGTTGAAGTGCCTTTTTTGTCTCAATTTGGCCCACAACCTATGCTAAAATTGTTTTTATTTTACTTATAAATTACATTTCTTTTGGAAAATCATAAGAGTTAAACCAACATTTTCAATGAGTGACCAGAGGGTTTATCAACCTTAAGACTGACCTTTGTTGAAAGTTGTTGGATGCCTCATTGTTGGCTGTGGTAGCGAGAGAGTTGGTACTTGTGCCGTATTTGTTGTTGATGTTGGTACCCTCAGGAGACTCCAGAACACACAGCAATATATCCTCTCCTACCTTCTTAGACTTGAATGTTGCCTTAAATGTTTGATCCAGAACCAGGTCCTCAAACTGAGCCACTTTCTCCGGCAACCAGAATCCAGTTGGTGATGCAACTCCTTTAAAACATCACCAAAGTTTAACATTTTCAGCATAGCAGTTAACAAGTATACATGATCATCTGTTAGGTCAAATAAATATTATACAATTTTACATTGTAATTCAAATGTCTATCCATGTGTTTAAAGAATACACTTGTTTTCCTGTGTATGTTTACAGTGATTGGGAAGAGCTTGCGCCACATGCCATAGTCGCATTGAAGTGAAAATCAATCATTGGTAGCGCCAAGGTGCGCATTCAAATTTTAGCAATGTTAGTTGGAAATATATTGCGTACGACTTTCTTGCTTGTTTTACTTTCGTTTTAAATGCAGTCATTTTAACACAACAAATCTCATTGGTTAAAATGTAGCTGCAATAATGTAGCCCTCTCCAATTTTTTTTTAATCTGATATTTTCAGGAGAGGGCTACAATTCCACTGCATCTCCGTAATGGTGCAAATATATTTTTTAGATACGGCGACTGCAGGCAAAATAAATTGTTTTTGCATTCAACTTACTTCCAATAAGACGGAATTTTTATTCACTATCAACATCATGGCCCTTTATACGCGAAAACCAAGTAAAATAAATCTGCGTGTTTTCCAGTCGTTCACCTCAGCAGCCATGACAGTTCTCGCGTGATGTACTGAGACTTGCACTTGAAATTTAGAATCACTTGATAATGTAAATGTCGGTGTTGATAAATGTTTGTGTTGTATGGTATCACTAAATATCGATAAATAAAAGCATTCCATGTGATATTTTTAGTATAAACAGTGATATTTATGCTTATAATAAGGGAAATCCATACAGATCCGCTCCCCTAGATCCCAAATTCTCATTGGTTGTCCCAAAATAAAATCGATCAAGGTCAGTAAACATGGCGGATAAATTCAAGTTGTGATGTTGACATACACGAAAAATAACCGATATACGGATTGTTCTGTGTATTTTTGGATCAATTCATGTCCTGCATAACTACATTTCATGAGTTCAGGTAAGATATGTTAACAAAATACCCACTTACTGATAATTTGAGCCGAAATCTGTGCGGTAGTGAATCACTCCCGCACTTGCACCATTACGGAGATCCTAAGGAGTTGTAGCCCTCTCCCAAAAAAAAAAAAAAAAAAAAATGGAGAGGGCTACATTATTGCAGCTAGTTAAAATGCGGCAAAAACTGCTTCCTGTTACATGAAGTGCTTTATTTAGGACAACAAAGGTATATTAACTCACATATTTCCAATGTTTAATTGAAATTTTGACGTTATTGATCCAAAATACAAGAAAATTATATTGTTTGCGGGTTCCTTTAAATGTGCTACACTGCATAAGTGAAAAAAAAAATTTGGTTAACGAAGAAACGTGTTTCTTTTCATACTTGACGTTTGTTTGTCATTTTTTCTTAAAATGGCCCATCAGAATGTATAGATGGCCCATTCATTTTCAAAATGGCCCATTAAAAACTTTGACAGTTGTGCCATAGTCCCATTGACCTTGATGGCCCTCCCAATCACTGTGTTTATTCATATGTGCATGTATATACGACAAAAAAACAGTGTATTGAATAATTAAACAATGCTTTCAAAATAAAGTTCAAAAAATATTGTAATATTAATTTCATAAAAATAATATATTGTCAACTCTGCACTTGGTTCTATTTTTAGATCATACATACGATCTCACACATTGCACTGGCAGATTTAGAGCCCCCCCCCCCCCCACTTTTGTTTCCAAAATATACACGATTTAATAATCAATTTTTTTTGGTGTGGCCGTGGGCCCCTACCCCGACCTCAAACTGGTCAGGCCCCCCTTTTCAAGATTCCTGGATCCGCCACTGCATTGTATCAGTCATAAAATGCACAAAAGCAGAATAAAGTAAAGAAAGTTTAAGTAGAAATGAAAAATAGAAATAAAAATGATTAAATTTTCTACTTCTTAGCTTGTAAGGAAAAATGAAAAAATAAATGATACAGGTTACAGCTTGGGCCAAAAAAAAAATTAATAACTTGGTTCTCAGGCCAGTTTTCTCAAAAATAAATGTGGGAGGGAGGCTTCCCCCCCCCTTTTTTTTTATCTCTTAAAAAACAGACGGGATTTTTTCATTTTTTTTTTTATAATTTCAAAAATAGCAACTTTTAATCAACAATGCTTCAACACTGAGTGTAGAAATCAAGATCATTTATTTTCTGCTTCTTTCTCTTTTCTCTACTACATTCAGATGATTCATGTAATGAATGCATCCTAAAAACCAGACATGTTAAACTTACAGAATCCAACACTTGATGCATTTGGTCAATTGCTTACATAACACATCTAATCTAAGAGTGCTTCAGCACTATAAATAGCACTTATGATTTTATTAAAGATTGTCAAATTTATCAGTCTTTGGTTTACCCAGACTACTGTATAGGGGATTAATTTCACGGGTTGTAATTTTCACGGTTTTCTCTCCTCTGACACGATCGCGGTTTGTTGAATTCGCGGAATTGGTATATAATAAAAGTTACCTCCCTTGTCTATATCCGTTTAATCTATAGCATTGCTAGAGCGGCATTAATCAGCGTTATGTATTAACTTCAGGAACAACAGGGTAGGTTTATATAAAATAGTTTGATTTAATAATTACTTGACGATTAATTAAAACAAGTGCAGTTATTAAAAGTCCTTGACTATAAACGTCGAATGACTTTCCTATATGCTATTACGATGAGTGCATGTACACCCCAAGATCTTATTTCCAAAGGGATAATACATCGCGGTGAAAAACCAATGGACGATAATAAATGTGTTAATGAATGTCGACGAAATAATATCATTCCACATCTTAACCAAGTTCGATAGTTATTTGAATGATTTTTTTTTAAACCAAAATGTCGATAAAAACTATTACGCATAATAATGCAGGTAACAAATAAGTTACGCACGGGTAATCAAAACCCATGACCCACGTGTTTGGATTGACGAAACATGTAGCGATGGCTATTAAAACAGCTTTTTAACAACTACATGTTATTATCTGCTGATTTGAATTAAAGTAAAGCGTGATAATTAAAATAATTGAATGACAAGTACTACTCGTAATTACTGAAATGACCATGTACTGCACGTAAATATACCTATCGTAGTCTATTCCCAAATTTCCAAATAAAACATGGAGGCTATTGAAAACTTATTCACTGTTTCTTGAATTCACGGATTTATAAACACCGTGAATATAGCGAATATTAACACCGCGAGTTATTTTCCCCCTATACAGTAAATAAAATCTGCGAATCTTGCCGACATCCATGTTCTGAGGTTGAGAGAGCCATCTTTGAGTGTTATTGATCCGAGTTCTAGCATGGAAAAACCTTCAGAAACCCCAACTTTGTACCACGAAAGTATTACAGTCATTCTCTTATGAATTTGCACCGAAATCAATGCCATCATGACTAAACTTAATCTTGATGCCTTAACCTGTTAACTCGACTGCCATATTTGCAATTTTTAACTAGGCCAATAGTCTGGTAGTCTGGATCATTTTCGATGTTTGCCAATGTTTTACCGATTTCTAAAATGCAGTCAAAATGCAGTCGGGGACTCAGTTTTTATTTTTGGCACTGCACGTGCGCATGAGAGAAATTTTATTCATTCGAGGATAAAAATGGGTGATGCGCATTGTTGAATAAGATGCGAGTGGGCCTTGAGAACCAAGTTATTAATTTTTTAGGCCTTAAATACAAAGGTATAGTATTCGCTTCAGAAATGTTCCACAGTATAGACATAATCGGTGATAATCGAACTATGCTATCTAACTTTCAAATATTTTCTGATAACTGCTTGTTAACTGCAATTGTGAAATCTGACATGTTGTTGGCAACCTTATACCTGTTAAAATCGTTCAAGTATATCGCTTAGCATGTGGATATGATGCAATCGGTCAAGTTTTGAATCAGATTATACAATTTATTTAATAATGCATGTCCTTCTATAAAGGATGATGTGACATAACTGCTATCTGGGGCCCCTTTTTCTACGACGAATTATATTTAATCTACGATGATTTTGATAGTTTTCAAACATGAGTGAAAGAATACGACGCCTTTTGAATAGTTTCAATAGTTCCGACACATTTTAATTATAAGGATTACTGCATTATCTATGATTTTTTAGACCCTATGACAGCAACATTCGGCCAGGTTTGTGACAATATCTTCCTTTCTGAAAAGAGAATAGGCGGGTCTTAGTACAATAGAGGGATATGCATGTCCGAGAAATTTACCTTATATGGCTATTGTTATTATTTCGCACATAGTCGCTTAGCGAGAACAATTGTCCAATCCGATGACAGAACGAAAAAACATTCTGTCGTTCACTATATGTTTACATTTTATCACAGACACGTGGTTTAGGTCAATTTACACATTATCTCTGCCACATTTAAAACTTTTAATGGTCAGTCAAGGCTGTTTATACATAATAATACGCATGGAACCTCAGCGTTTACCGTTCTGGGTCAAGAAATGCACATGACACTCATATTCACTGATACTCGGGAATACGTGTAGACCCAGCGAATTGCCCACCAAACGCTTTACAAAACTTTAAATTATGTATATTTATAAATCGTTTGTAACTCTGAGCTGGGAAATTGTTGATCCGTGCCTAATCTGTGACTCAAATGCATAAAAAATTGTTTATCGGAAAGTAGGTAAAAAAGCCTTTTTTCCAAGCATAAAATTTTCTTAGTATTTTTGTGGTACTCACTCGTAATGCATCTCATTTAGCTGATTGGTCAGTTAGAAAGTATGGCCAGTGCCTTGATTAGCATATGAATTTATTCTTACGTCAGAAAAAATAGTTTCGTCGATCTATTCATAATAGGAAAGGCCAGCTAGATTTTACCATTTTTTAAAAAAACAACATGTGAGCGCAGTTAGGTACATTTTTCTCCTTTCACATATAGGTAGATTTCAATAAAATACATAGACCAGCCAAAGGACAAAAATGTACCTACTTGCGCTCGTATATTTTAATGGCTTCAAAGAGTGGGGCGGGGCCAAAATTCAATTGGAATCGGATGTAAACATGGTACCCCTACCCAAATGAAAGATCTATATCTTCCAAATTACGCTTCTATTTTTGTTAAAAGTAGTTTTCCATAAGGGAACACATATCAGTGATTAGTTGCATGCAAAAATTAGAGTAAAAGTTGGACATTTAATTTTTTGTCAATTTACCGGGGGCCGTATGTCACATCATCCTTTATTGCGTCCATTGGGATGCACATTTATTGAAATAATGCATCCTGAGCAAAATTTGTGCATAATTTACGCTGGACACAGACCAAAATGAATCATTGTCAGAATACCTCACTTGTGCCTTCAGCTCAGGTAAGCTAAAAATAACTAAATACTGATGAACTAATATTTTAAGTTCACAGCAATGCACACCCATGTGATATAAAATGTGTGAATTTTTATACACGTGCAGTGACCCACCTTCAAGTCCACAGAGTACTGCCTGGGGTGGTAGCGTCATCAGTTCATCACTGATCTGCTTCAGATTCTCTTTGGGTGAGCATTCTGTATTACCATAGTCAATATACTTCACCTCAGCCATCCCGTTGTTCAACATGCCTGTTTGCAAAAAATTCAAGACATTGAAAGTATTCACTGAAAAAAATCGATCCCCACCATTTCAACTTAAACTCCAAAAATATTTGATGCAGGAATTAATTTTTTTTTTTTGACCAATTGAATAGAAAAGACACAGATTCCTAAAATATAAAGAAATCATATAATTTCTCTGGTGTTTAAATATGTGACTGCTATTTTCTATAATATAATTCTATACCATTTTTTTTCATTTCATAACATCATAATAAAATTTTACAAAATTTTCACACTTACTTTGGCAAACATTATTCACATGACCTATGAAAACATAAATCTAGATATATTACTGATTTCTGGAATAAAGTTTGTATGTGTTATTTATCCTCTTGAAGAAATATCTACACATACTGACCTGTAATTTGGGCTCTATACCAGTCCTGGTCAGCACTGTACTTAGCCACACAGTGCTGTCCGAGTGACACATTGGTCAGCTGTTCCTCGTATTCATCCAGGGCGGAGTAGTGTTTGTCCAGACTCTCCATCAGTGCATCAAGCTGGACTGCAGTCTTACTTAGCTGGCAGTGGAAGTGATCGGGATCAACCACATGAGTGACCATAACTTCCTCCTGGTCACCAATAGCCACCATCCCCTTTCTCTCACCACTGTTTCTTAATATCAATAATCATATCGTTTACATCCAAATACAGGTTTTATATGATCTGACAGGAAATATTTATATTTTATATGATCTGACAGGAAATAAAACCTCAATTCATTGTTATTTTGAAAGTAAAAATTAAATTACAATTTTTTTAAAAAGGCCCATGGGCCACAACACTCAAATGAGTTAACTATGGCCCTGCTGTTTTCATCAGATTTTTCTCCTTTAATAGCCCATTGTGGCCTAACCCTACCCCCCCCCCTTTTAGGTGTCTTGATTTTTTTTTTTTTTTTTTAAATTGAATCTACACCATTAAATATGACTAACCATGGCTTTGCTGTTCTTGAGAAGTTTTCCCTATATATTCCTATGCAACATTTGACCCCAGGGGTCCTGATTTGAACAAATTTGAATCTACACTACCTGATGGTGTACCATTTATATATGACACAGCTACACTTATCCTTCCTTAACTCAAACTTACCCACTCTGCAGGGCCACTTGAGGGAGTCTCGGGATCCTGTGCTGGTTCCCAAAGAGTTTACTGGTGATAGTTTTGTTGTTTGAATGGCTGGTAAATTCAATCTGGAAAGTTGGAAATACTCCATCTGCAAAATTTAAAAAAAATCTAATCAGTAGAGAAAATTTACTTAACAAAAATACAAACATTTACAACTTTTAAATTGTGAATTTTTTGGTACCTTATTTCCATAGATGTCAGAAATACTAGGTGAATATAGGAAAATAATGAAGTAACTTGCCTGTCCTTGATGCAAGTCTGACCTCCACTACTTTGTCAACCAAAAGAGTCTGTAAATCTGACATACTGACACTCATCGGGGGTTTCTGAAATTGGCACATGATACAAAGTTGTGGGGTGTCAGCGACACTTGGATGTATCTGATACAATGATGTCATGGGTACAGTGCAGGAGTCACCAAAATCAATAAACATGATCTCCGCTGAACTTCCTGTGACAGAAGTAATGAGTGCTCTATACCAGGATCCGTCTGTGTACTTTGCACAGCAGAATGTTCCCACCTCACAGTCAGCTATGACATCCTGTCCCATTTCGTACACCTTCATTAAAGTCTCCTGGAGAGAAGCAAACTTTTCAACTGGAACTTTGGTCAGCTGGCCGTAGAACTGTTTAGTGGAGTACATCGCAGTGACACAAACCATCTCAGTGCTGCCAACAGCGACATCTGGTTCTGGTATCTTTAGTCTCCTGACAGTTCGCCTGGCAGACTCTTTGTATGATGACACAGATTTTCCTTGTTTTTTAACCCCTAACAACTCCTCATTCAAATAACGATCAATGTCTTTGTCTCTGGTATCGTACAAGTCTAACTGGTAAACACCTCCTCTATTTGATGTCACCATCGATACCAAGGGTACATCATTCTCAAGTCCTTTAAGAATTTCTATTTCTCCTTCTGACCAGTAGTCTGGTGTCATCTTTGTCAGGTCTACGGTGCACTGAACACACTGTGCTGGGATAGATGTCAATTTTTCTGAAATTTCTTGGAGGTTTTGCGCATCTACAGTTTCTGTAAACCCAAAGTCTACTGAGGTGACTTTAATAGAAGATCCAACAGATTCCACAGAACTCCTGTACACTGCACCATCACTCATTCTAGCTAAACATGACTGTTTGGGTGTGGGTCTTGAAAGTGGCCTGTTAGTTATAAATTCCTCATGAGCCAAATTCATCAGATCACTAACAGTATCAGAACTACTGAGAAGTTGCACAAAAAATCGACCAGGATGCTCCACATAGCAAATGCATACATCATAAGTCCTATTACCCTCAAGTGATGACACTGGGTATTCATGCAGGGACTCCAATGTCTGAGAACTGTTTAAACTACCATGGTTTTCCATCTTTTCAATCTCATCTATTTCTATTGTGTGTTCGTCATTACTTTTCCTCAGAAATTTGACTTTCACCACTCCATCAGAAGCCGAAAGTTCTTGTAGCTTGTCCTCCAGTTTACTTGGATTAATTCTGGTAGTTTTATAACAACACCTAAGACCTTGAATTGGAAAATTCATGAATTTGGCAGGTAGAGATAATAATTCATTGTGTGACTTTGATTCTGAATTTCCATAATCTACAAACTGCACAAGGCATTTGTCTGAGGTGCTTGTTAATATCTGTGACCTATATGGTGCCTCATCTTCACTGTAATAAGCCAGACAAAATTCTCCCATTTGTGGATTACCAAGTTTTTCAGCACTACTTGTACAGTATTCTGCAATTTGACTCATTATATTGCTTAAGTCATTTTCTGTTTCTTGAAGTTGCACCCAGAATTTATTAGCACTTTCAATGTATGAAATATAACACTGATGACAAGAGTTTGTATTGACATTTTGCAATGTCATAGAACTGGGTGAAGAAATACTATTGGCGGATGGACTGTGCAGTCTTACAGAAAATCCCCGTGGAGATTTCTGAATAACTTCTACCATGTATTCTTCATTCAGTAGTCTCTCTCTTACTGCCTCCTCTTCCTCTGGTGTCCATTGACCTCTTGCTGGAGAGAAATCAACAAATACACACTTTGTTGCCAATGGTTCTACATGCTTCAGCAAACTAGGAAGTTTCCTAATATTGTCTGCACTAACAGTTTCTGTGTTGCCATAATCAACAAAAAAGATGGACAGGTCGTTGGCGCCTTTTCCGACAATCTTGCCTCTGTACCAATTATCATCCTCGTGAAATAATGCTACAACGATTTCATCATTCCCCAGGCTACCACCTAACACTGCACAATTTCCTACACTACTCTGAATATTTTCTGCAAGTTCTTCGACAACGTTTTCCTCACACAACTGACAATATCCGTTACACACACCTGCGTCAAACTCCACGTGGGTGACAGTTCCTAAAATTCTTGAACCTGGCACTACTCTGGACATTTTGCCTTTGTAATGAAATTTTAAAAATTGTACTTAATTTGTAATCTTTCAATATGTGTTCAAAAATCTACCCCTGTCAACCATTGCACAGTTACTCCTCATATTCGTTTGTCAATTTTCTCGAACTCCCTGCCATGTTTGTTAATATGTCACGTGATCAAATATGCCGCGAAATAACGAACGTTTATTTATTATATCGGAGTCTGAGGTTTCGATCCGCCCGTTTTAAAAATCGGCTCCTGTTTTCACTTTTTTTTAATAATGTGGACCATACATTGGAATCAGTGAAGTTAAATCTTATGAAAGTTCATCACAATATTTATTTTTAAATAAGGAACTTCGAATTCAACATTTTTTCGTTTGGGGGTGGGGGGGGGGGTTGGAAGGGGGAGGGTCGTTGTACATACTTGTATATAGCTTTCGCTTTAGCGGTTACGTATATGCTATAGGTCCCTGGCTTTAGAACATCAAAATTCCTCCTTCTATAACACTAAAATTTTTGCTTTACTCTAATTTGCTTTACTTTGCAACACGCCTAGAAATTCACCATAGTTTCGTGCGATCTAGATTTAGGCAGGCTAGGTGAGCTCAACAAAAATGTAATTAACGCTAATCAACCCAAGATCGAGTCGCGCGATGGAATTGATGTCAGCAGCTTTGGGGGAGGATGGATCCAAAATTTTACAGATTTTAAATTAAAACTAGCAAACTAATATAGGACTTATAATAGAAAAATAAGACGCCGGGGTGGGGGTGGGGGGATCTCACGCCGGGGTGGGGGGAGGATCTCATTGTATACTCATAAATAAATATACATCAAGAAAATAAATTTTAAAAAGATATCAAAGTTATAGGCCTAAATAAAATGAAAATGAAATTCAAAAAAAAAAAATGTTCGAAACTGCGACCATTATTACTAAGTACTTCTGATGTTACTTGAGAAAGCTATCTAGATTTTGACACCCATATATATAGGTCTACCGTAAATTTGAGGCCTTTTTTGGTGACAACTCTTTTGGAATAAAAAAGTTCTCGATTGAGACGTAAAACAACATACAATCAATCAATATTCTTCTGTAATTTTACTTGTTCTTTCTGGATACGCTAGGATATATCCCGGCCTTACTTCATAGATAGTATCGCCTTTGCATTTCTTGTCCATTTCATTGCACTAAACTCAGTATATCTTAAATTCAGATTAAATTTTTTTTTTAGTTATACATGAATAATGTCTCCGAAACTATTTTCTTTTCAGGTCTGACGACGACGTTCCTTAAATATATGACTCTCTTTGTAGTATACCAAAATATTCATAATTATTGTCTTTTTATTTCTAAACTATTTTAAAAATTATCTTTAATGATAAAAACACCAAAAATTGTTAAATCAGCAAATCAAGTTATTTTCAATATAGGACTTTAAAAGAATTACCATCCTCTGGTATCTTGGACGAATGCCTGGTAAGGTAAACCTCAATTTTTGGTAAGGAAACTTGTTAAAGAAGCAATAGTTCAGTTATCAGATTCTTATATAGATTATTGAGGAAATAACGTATCATCTGACTTTAATTTATTTGTATATTTTTTCAAAGAATTAAATAATTTTAAAAAAGCCGATTTTCCGATTTTTAAAAATCAGTTCATGCATTCATTACCTTTGTCGCCATTTTTCAAGATTATTTACTTATAAATCGAAATAAAATATACAAATAAATTAATTCCATATGCAAAATGCAAAATAGAAGAATGTCCAGCAGCAAAACAACAAACTATATCAGGGGAAATGAATGCCATTATTATTAATGGCATCTGAAAAAATTCCCGGTATAGATGTATATATTTTACATACTGCTCATCTGAGATGATGACGGAATGTATTTGTGAGTGGAGGAGCAGAATAACACGGGTTGGGGAGAGAGGGGTGGGTTCATTAAGTAACATTTACCAGGGACTTATATACTAATATAGTATAGTATATAGGTCCCTGCATTTACACACAGGCTGTTGTACTTTTACTTTCTTTCATACATGACATATTATTACTATAACATCATTGCAAGCCCCCCCCCCCCCCTCTCCCCCATAAAAGTTTTATATGGAGTATTAAAGATTCATATCATAGTAAGTCAACTGGTCAAAGTATTAAAATATTTACTATAAATTAAGTAAAATTTCTGTTAGCATGGTTAGGGTAAAAAGTAATCTTTCAAGTTGACTCACGTACCATTCCCCTTTTCATTTAATTTTCAATATCAAAAAGAAACAGTGGGATGATGCAAATTTATTAAACAATATACTGTATACATGTACATTGCACTTAGTGTTTAAGGGTTTTATTCAGAGTAATAAACTTTAAATTTTCCTGAATCTCCTTTCTAAAGACAATTCTGAGGAAAGTTTTGTAAAATGCAGCGCTAAACATGCCTGCTGGTGATCTCTTCGATGTTTAACGTGGGAGACCACCCAATCGCATTTGGCGCCTTTTCTACCTATGTTATGAAAATGGCATCGATATCATCCGCATGATTAAAAATATAATAACTGGACATATTACTTTCTAAAATAATAGTTTTATAATGCTTACATTTATTTCTACCTGGTTGAGAATATATTTTCGAGATAAATTCCATATATTTTGTGTAATATGCTTGCACTATACTTTGCGTAGTAAGTACTTTCGGTGTGAGTGGGCTTCATGAAAGTAGGAAAGCAGCCGAAAAAGAATGGTGAATACTAGACACCGAGCGGAAAATCGCTCGGAAGTCCCGTTTTTGTCACATGAAGATTTCGGCAAGAGGGACCATGAAGCAAACGTGAGATTTCATCTGATCTAAGTGTGAATTCGCACATCCTTTGATATCGAACAAAGGGTTTTCATTCATTTCGAATTTCCTCGGAAACATAGATGCTACTTATTTATTACTTTCACTTACATGTATATCGTAGCATCTTTAGTTATTGGCAAAATTAATTAAGTTAATTTATAATATTAAATCTTGCAATGGTTAATACTTGATTTGACAGTATTTGAACCTGAATCTTGAATTTATTTTATCCGAGACATATTTATGAATGCACCCAGGGAAACATGCTGAACTGCTGAACGATACAGCCAAAGAAAATCTGTGCACATTTATTGTGATATGTCGCTGACTGATTCACTTAAGTTGATGACTGATTCACTTAAGTTGATGTTACCACAAAAACTATGCACATTGATTCCATTACACAAATCAATGAATATTTTCACTTTTCAGGGTGAAGAAACAGATGAGAGTAGTGGTGTTGTTGATTTCTCACCAAGGAGTCTCAGAAAGTCTGTAAACCAGAGAAGTACTAGAGCAGCTACCAGGCGCAGGTAAAACAGTCACAATTATTTCTACGTTCATAGATATGGTAACATTTAATGTAGAGCAATCATTTAACATTCAGTGAGTTAAAAACTTAAATATGTAGTACTTCGATTGTAGGTTTGTTATACATGATGATGACCCAACAGATGAAGAAAGTGATTATGGTGAGCACAAACATGGAGAAATTTATGGTAGATTTACAAAATTAGCATTTAAACTTATATCAGAGATATAAGCAACATATTGTGTTCATATCCATTTGGGCAAGCAGGTGTCAGATTTTCAATTTTCTGTTATCAGTGTTTATGTTAACAAATAAATGTGTGTAAATATGTATTAAAAATTAAATTATACCCCTGAAAAAAAAAATCTCAAAATTATTCTTAAAAAAAAATTCTACATAAATTTAAAATTTTCAAATTATCTAGCCAATTCTATAAACAAAACCTGGCTTTGGGGCCATAATACTTAAATTGAGCTCACTTTTGATCTCAGTCTCCCTTTTCCACTATATATTCCTTTTGTAAAAGTGAGACTGAGGTTAAAGATGAGCTCGTCTAAGTGTGATGGCCATGGACCAGATATCCTGTTAAAAGCATGTCAGCGTCTTAACTTCAGTTTGGCTCCGTTAAAAAAGCTGTTGGTAATTAGTTGAAGTGCTTGACTTACAATCTGATGTTGTTTTTGTCCTCCGTCAAAACCAAGATGGTGGAATCGGTAAAAAGTTTAAAAATGTAAATTTACCCTCCCCCCCCCCCCCCAAAAAAAAACAATATTTTTTTTCCTCATTTTTAAAGCCTTAGGAAATGTAACTACAAAAACAAAACAAAGTCAGAATGCATTTTCAATGATTCATTTTGAAGTGGGTTCTGCATAATATCAGTGTTGTCCCTAAGAACCGGCCACCAGCCAAATTGACAACTTTAATTGATAAAAATGTTGCTTTGAAATTAAAAATTTAAAATTGAGTTCTTGTAAGGTCCACAGAGATTTGTTCATAAACCTCATCCCATAACCTGTTACAATTAATCTCTAACCCTTTACTTTAAAATAAAGGGAAAACGCTAATATTGCTCAAGATGTACAATTTCAATAAATGTGCATACCAGTATAAGCAATAAAATTAGAAAGTTGTGTATAGTTTTCATGTTTTCTTGATATTGACTGAATCACAAAATTGTTGATTGCATCCAGCAATTAGGAATGGGTCCAGTGCTTTTTCAATTGGGAAAACATCTACATGACGTAAAGGATGAGTGCACTTAAGCTATGAGAGCTGGGTCCCGGTGTTTTGCGCAAAATAAAATTCCAAAAGTCATAAACTTTATGTTTTATAGGTATTAAACAATGTCTTAAGAGCAGGTTTTGGTATATTATACTACATGAAAGTATTAAATAATGCCGAGCGACACTAGCTTTTGAGACGGAGGTCTAACAGTTTTGTCACATTTCTATTGTTATTCATATGCATACCAGTTTTCAACGACATTGTTTACATCGAGCCGCAACTTGTCCATTGGTCTCATTTGCACAGAATGTGTATTTTGATTTAAACTTCAACATATCCAAAGGACAATGTTGGACAAATTGCGGCTCATATCTAATTTTTTGAAAAAGTCTCCAAACTACGGTCGAATTAGCCACTAAA